CTTGATGAGTAGCTTACTTTTATCTTGATGTAACCAATTCCAAACCTCAAATCTTTCTTTTATATAAGTTTTACATGCACACTGCTGCCTACTGTGAGACCTTGGTCTTTCATTTCTCTGTGCCTTGGATTCCCCCATTGTAAAATGGGGGAAAGGATATGGACCGCCTTTGTAAATTGGTATTATAATCCTCTACACATTTCAAGGCATGGTACCGAATGATTTATGAATATGTAGAGCCTGATTCATTACTGTCTAACTCTTGTTTTACACTGAAATCAGTGGACTTACATCAGTACAAAACTGGAGTAACAGTTTTATATCAGGCCCATAGTTTTTTCTGGAAATCAAAGAAACTACAGTCTTGGCATTCTTTTTTTGTTTCATGGTCATTCACCAATGCATTAACACATAATAATGAGTTAAAGCATTTCTATACTGTCCAATAGTATGCAGTACATCAGTGTCTGGTGGTGTCTTTTCCATACTAGTTCTCATAAGCTGCATAGTATCCTCAGCAGATTCTTACCAATATGTCCTAGTGATCTGCAGTTCCAAGAGTCTAGTCTTTTAAGGAAACATGCAGTACTCTTGAGCTTACAAACACATCCCTTGGAAATGTTCTAATTTATTTTCTATGATTATTGTTTGCTTAACAGTAAATGGGTTTTGAACTGCTTACTGCCAATAGATGTGCACTTTGTTTAGTCACATGAAAACATATCATGTCTCCACAGCAAAGGTTAGTGTAAAATTGTGTTGGTTACTTGTTGGAACAAGCACTCTTAGTTTAGAGCCACTAAAACTGACAAAAGAGCTGCCATGGAGTGCTCCACCTAGGAACAGCTCAAAGTGATATGTTCCTGCCACTTTCTTTATCTCTGTCAGGGACTTGGGGCATGTTTCCCCCTTCTAGCTGTTTTCTCAAGCGTGCTTTGTAATTCTCCACATTAAAAGTTGCTCTGGGACCATAATATCCCTTCAAAATGTCAATCCAATTTTTGTTTCATCCAGCTTTTGTGGTGCCCTTCAGTCAATCCATTTGTTTTTCTTTCTAATATGGTCAACATATGCCATTTTTTATTTATTTCCTCTATAATTTGATTAGTGAGGAGAGAATGATCCAATGGTCAACTAAGTATTAAAGCTTTTTTTAATTAGTTAAGGGCTTTAACTGCCCTATCAAATGTTTCAATAGTTCTTTCTGGAAAGACACTGTATTCTCTTATGAAGCCAATCTTCTTGGAACAAATAGGAAAGACTTTCATCCTAACTGAATTCCCTGTTATATAACAGAAAATCACAAGCAACTACTTAGAATTTCTGTTAACTTTTGTTAAACATAGGCAAAATCAGCAAGTGTGAAAGAAATCAGATAGCATTTCAAGCAGTTCTAATATCTCTCAACACAGCTCTGACTCCAGCTCAGTTAAATATTGGTGCAGGGTACAATATTAGCTACTACAACATATAACTTTTCAACATTCCTAACTCTAGCCAACAGGAGCTCAGCCTCTTAACGTGGACTTTATTGCAAGCCATACATATACAATCTGAATTCATTAACTCTTTAGTTTGCTGAATTACAGTATTATGGAAAGTTCATATCTCAACATTGTTCCCCTACTCCTGGGAATCTGAAGTATTTTAGGCCAAATAAATTCAACTCATTTAGAATGAAACCAAGGGAGGAATGTTCAGAATCAAAGCAATCAAGAGAGGCAGAAGCAATTTAGAGGCCAGATTATGTTTTCTCTCAATCAGTTGGGGTCAAGCAGAAATCAGTTAAGTAGGGAATAATCACAGGTAAATCAGAATTAGTTGTTTTAGCAGGAACTCCTACTAGATTTACACTATAATCTACTGAAAATTGCTATTTACTGTATATTTACTATTACATTCACTATATAGCTAACAATTTACATTTATGAAATAACAGAATTTTGAATTAGAAAGTACAATTTCCTACATCATAGTACAATGCCATTATTATATGATCCCTCTTCAGTTTCCAGCCTCTGTTGAGTTTAGAGGGAAAGTTTTTGTTAGCAATCCTCTTGTGCAATTTTTGTTTACTATTTTGTGTTTCAGGGTAAATAAATGCATGTATTTCTTGACACAATATTTTGGCTACATGAGTAAACAATTATCCCTTCACTCCTTTTTGATTTGCAGATCTTTGGTCTTGTACGGTTTCTCTATAGCATTCTTGTCACTTCACTTTGTATATCTTAAGTTGTTTGGATGGCTATATTAAACAGTCCTTTTTATTTTCCATACTGCTCACTTCCTCTTTATTCTTGTTTGTTTAATTACTTTATTTTATTACAGTTTATTTCCATCACATTTCACTCTTGCTTTATTTGTCAGTTTTCTAATGAAGTTTCTAATAATTTCATAGATTATACCCTCTAGTGCATTCATCTGACAAAGTGGGTCTTTGCCCACAAAAGCTTATGCTCCAATAAATCTGTTAGTCTATAAGGTGCCACAGTACTTCTTGTTGTTCTTGCAGATTCAGACTAACACGGCTATCCCTCTGATACGCTCTAGTTATTTTCCTCATTTACACGCACTGTTCTTCCTTGTCCTCTTTTGACCTTATATTACTGTCTTTCCTTTTTAAAGGTACTCTCTCTTTTATGCTATCCCTGTTGTTCCTACAATCTTTTGTCTTTCCTATCCCTCCTGTCCTGAACTGGATTTTTTCCCTTTCAGCACTCTGTTCCTGCTGCACCTTTGATGATACAACGCAGCCACCAAGGCCCCTAATTTACTGATACAGGCAGTCCCCGGGTTACGTGGATCCGACTTATGTCAGATCCGTACTTACGAACTGGGCTTTTCTCACCCCGGAGGACGCGGGTGGCAGGACCACCCAGACGTGCCATGGTCCCGCCGCCCGTGTCCTCTGAGGCGAGAAAAGCTACTCCGCGTCTCCCTAGTCTGCTGGGGGGCGGGGGGTGTGCTAGCTTCGCGTCTCCCTGGTCTGCTGGGGGGCAGCAGCTAGTGCGGGGTTGCCTCACCCCGTTTGTAAGTAGGGATCTGATGGGACCTACCCGGCAGTGCCCCAGCTGCTCTGTCCCAGGTGTCCCGATTCAGCCGCTGTTGAAACTGATCAGAGGCTGATTCCAGGAAGCCCGGGGCAGAGAAACTCTGGACGTCAGTTCCGACTTATGTACAAATTCAACTTAAGAACAAACCTACAGTCCCTATCTTGTACCTAACCTTGGGACTGCCTGTACTCTACTTCAGTGGTCTCCAGCCTTTTTAAGCATGAGATCACTTTTTAAATTTAAGCACAATCCAAGATCTATCTCAAACCCAAATACCCTTGCCCAGCCTCCTTTGTACCCCTTCTCTGAGGCCCAACCCCCTGCTCGCTTCACCCTCCCTCCCTCCCTCATCCTTCCTCACTTTCACCAGGTGGGGCAGTAGGTTGGGGTGCAGGCAGGGCCGGCCCGAACCCTTTTGGCGCCCTGGGCCCAGGCGTGCAGCATTGCCCCGGGCACATGGCGCATGCGTGGCCGCTGCCCCCATGAATCAAGCTCCGCACTTCCTAAAGCCAGCCCTGGCCTTTTCCGTGGGTCAGCAGCCCCTGACTCAAAATAGGGCCCCCCAACAGCCAATGATTTAAAGGAGAGATCCATCATAGTTCACCTTTTACCGGCAGGTGGTAGCAATGAGTTTGTAGATCCCATAATAGTTTGTAGGGTAGACTGGAAGGCCTTTGCTTAGGGCCGCTTGATTTTTTTTGGCAAAAGATGTTATGTAAAGTAGCTTTTTGAACAAAAGAAATTTGTGTGGACATTTTAAATTCTGCTTAATACTTTCCCCTGATTTTTCACAGAACGATTGGAAACTAAGACTGGGTTATTAGCAAAGTCAAGTCAGTTTTAGTGGTTTTGAAAACATTTTTACTAAAAATGAGTTTCTTAAACTAAAGCGCTCTCAGAACAAGTTTTCTGCTAACAAGTGTTTTTGTTTTAATTGCTAAAAACGAGTTATTTGCATAAAATAACCTCCCAGGGTCTTTTCTGCTGGCTTTACTCAGTGAGGTAAAGGGAAGGGCTGAAGTGGGCTCCCTGCATGCTGAGGGCTACTCCAAGCTCAATCCCAGCAGTCAAAATCCTCCCTCGGTTCCTATGACAAGTCTCCCCGCCCAACCCAACCCTCTTAGCTACGACAAAATACAGGACTATGTAGCACTTTAAAGACTAACAAGATGGTTTACTAGATGATGAGCTTTCGTGGGACAGACCCACTTCCTCATTTGATCTGAGGAAGTGGGTCTGGCCCATGAAAGCTCATCATCTAATAAACCATCTTGTTAGTCTTTAAAGTGCTACATAGTCCTGTATTTTGTCTTAGCTCAGAGGGTTGGGTTGGGCGGGGAGACTTGTCATAGGAACCGAGGGAGGATTTTGACTGCTGGGATTGAGCTTGGAGTAGCCCTCAGCATGCAGGGAGCCCACTTCAGCCCTTCCCTTTACCTCACTGAGTAAAGCCAGCAGAAAAGACCCTGGGAGGTTATTTTATGCAAATAACTCGTTTTTAGCAATTAAAACAAAAACACTTGTTAGCAGGTCAGTCCCTCTTGGGTCCCCGCACCGCGCGACAGCCCCCGGCCAGCAGCGCATCCTCGCTCGCTCTCTGTACCACGTGCGCCGCCGCGCTCCCAGTCTAGTTGCCGCGGCAACAGCAGATAAAGGCCTTTGCGCCCTGGGAGGTTATTTTATGCAAATAACTCGTTTTTAGCAATTAAAACAAAAACACTTGTTAGCAGGTCAGTCCCTCTTGGGTCCCCGCACCGCGCGACAGCCCCCGGCCAGCAGCGCATCCTCGCTCGCTCTCTGTACCACGTGCGCCGCCGCGCTCCCAGTCTAGTTGCCGCGGCAACAGCAGATAAAGGCCTTTGCGGCATTCCGGGGCCGTGGGGGGGTGGCAGCCGCGGCCGGTAGGGTGCCTCGCAGGTTGATGGGCTGAAGAGGGAGGGAGCGGAGGGGGGGGTGCGTCGCGCGTCGTTGTCACGCGCTGCGCTCTGCTCCTGCCGCTCCCTCTCTCCCTGTGATCCTGACACGCGCAGCTGCGTCGCGCGCGGGGGAATCTCGAGGGCCAAAGGATCGTCCGTGCACTGCCCGAAGCCCACGCGCCAGCCTCGCTCGTGGAGCCCGGTGAGTGGCGCGTCCCGGATCCCTAAGCGCCCCCTGGCCCGCCCTGCCCCACGCGTGGCTGGAGCCCCCGAGTCCGGGCGTCTCCAGCAGCCCCCGAGAGGAGGACTTGGGTCTGGGACCCTTGCAAGCTCCCTCCTGTTCTCTGCTCCCCGCCTCCTGCCCAAGTGGACTTTGCTCAGTCAAAAATGACCGGTGCTCAAATGCCTGGAAGGCCCCTTTGCCATCATAGGGGTTTTCACAACCCCTCCAGCCAGCCTGGGGTGCAGCAGCACAAATGAGCAAGCTGAAGAAAAGCTGCTGCAGGGGCTCGAGTGCAGGGTGCATCACGGGTTTTCAAAGGAGGGGGGGTCTCCTTGGACTTAGTTGCCTGAAATAAGAGCAAATGAAAACGGAGATGACTTTTTTCCACCTTTAAAAAGTCATGAATTTAAGACCCAACAAACAAACCCTGAAAAGATTAGCACAGAAGGGTTCAAGTGTGCTGCTGAAGATCAGCAGAAAGACCCACTGTGTAAATCGGACCTTCTCTAGTGTGAATAGCTGCTCTTGGGATCTTCCAGTCAAAGCTGCTCATTTCATTGACAAAAAGAACTGGCTGCAGAGCCAGCGTATTGCTGTGGGAGAGGGAGCTGGGTTCTAATGTGCCTCAAGTATCTGCCACTGCATCTCCAGCCAGGATCTGATTGCAAAATCCTTTTGGGGATGACCAGGCAGAGGGAGTAGAAGGACTGGCAAAGCCAGGGTGGAGTTTGAATTGGAAGCAGATAGAAAAATAATCTGTTGACTGGTGAGTTGATGATAGATGAGATCTGCAGGTCACAAGGGAAATATAAATAGAGTCATTTTTACTGTCACTTTTAGGACTATAACTTCACTTTCAGGTTTTGAAAGTGGAAGAGATGTGGCAGGGAAGTCAGTCATGTAGTCAGCCTTCCCCCATTACTCTTGGAAGCTTAGCAATAGTTACATATTCATTTCCCCGCTCTCTTCCATCATTTCCTCTGCCCATTGGTGTCAGTTCTCAAGCAGCCATTATATTATCCATGGTTTTATCATGGCATTTCCTCTGACATCTGGAAACTGGTCTTGGCAGCTTTTATCCCCGCCCTGACTCAGATAATTCAATAAGTGCCAAGGTGAAAAAAGCAGGGCCTTTGTTGCACATGGGTAATATGGGAATTTCATTGACATAACTAGCCTTTGAAGAAGTAGATACTACTGGTAAAGAATGAATAAACAGACATCTAAATTAAATGATCTTCTCCCATATTTCAAGTGCCAGTCTGATTTATGTTTCTTGACTGATTCTTTATCCCACCACTGATCTCTCTGCCACTCTTCATTGCAAGTCTGAGGGTACGTGTGCACTACAGAGAAGATCAAAGCTACCGCTATGGATCTTCCAGGGTTCAAATTTGCGGGTCTAGTGAACACACACTAATTTGAACTGAGAGGGGGCACTCTGGTCGATGCTGGTAATCCTGCTTCCATGAGGAGTAAGGGAAGTGGAAGGGAGAGTGTTCTCCCTTCAACTTCCTGCTGTGTGGACAGTGCCAAAAGTCAAGTTAAGGTACTTTGACTTCAGCTACATAATTAATGTAGCTAAAGTTGCATATCTTAATTCAACCTTATCCTGTAGTGTAGACATACCCTGAGAGTGAACAACATTCTATTTTTACATGTAAATTTCCCATCTACCCACAGAAAACTACAGTTATCTCAATGTATGCATGAGTGTGTTTTAGTTACTCATGGAAGATGTCCAGAAATGAAGCAGATATAGAGACTGCCTATTTAATTCCAGATTATGAGGATGCCCTGATTAAGAGGGGCCTGATTAAGAGGAGCTTTGTGAGGCTCAGTCAGGAGGATAGAGCACATGATGAGAGGGGACCCAGGAATCAAGTGAGAGAAAGGGAGGAAAATGCTCAAGGACTTGAGAAGGAGATGGGGATAGCAGGGAAATTGCCAAAATTTTGAGTTGTAGGAACATGACTGAAGAAGAAGGGCAGGACTGAAATCCTCAAATACATCCCTCAGAATGTGGGATAAACCCTCCTAATCTCGCTCCTCAGGCTCTAGAAAACGGAAACACTTCCACAATGTTTATCAGTAAAACTGGGGAAGGGAGATTCCTTCCCAGCCTCAGATCTGGCAATTTTTAATTTATCCCTGTCCTGTGCATGTGAGTGAGAATCTCTGGTGGTTTGATATCTAGTCCTGTGAATCTGAGGTGATAGAAAACATGATTTATAGGGTAGAAATGAATGTCATCTTCACTCTTACACTTCCTGCTAACTTGCTTTGCACTATCAGGAGGGGAGGGGGATCTTGCTAGGTGAGGGAAGTCAGCTGACAGGTTGGGCAGAGGAAAAGCAGTCTTACACACCCTTTTTTATGCAAAATTGATTTGGTTGATTGCTCCAGTGTAAAAATTCAACAAGAATTGTATGAAATCCATCAATATGGCATCAAATCAGCTAAAACACTTAACATGTCATAGAACTCACAGATAGAAGCAATCTGTCAGGTCACATCCTGTCCATTCTGCCACCATGGCTTATGCAGAATTGTTCCATGGAGCCCATTTTCCAGGGCATTGTCCAGTGTTGAATAACAGCTCAGTGACAGGAGTTTCATCAGTTCACTTGGGGAATTATGCTGTAATTTAATAATGTGGAGGTCCTTATTGATTGATCTCCATCTTAAATTCCTCTTGGCTCAGAAATATCCTTTTGCTCTTTACCATATTCCTGGGTCATCCTTAGTACTTTCACTCCCTTCTTACTACTTACACCCTTCAAATTTCATTTTCTTGCAACACACTCATCATTAAGAAGTTATTTGAATTTCTTAATTTTATGCTGTATAATAATTTTAATTAAGGGTATTCCTGAATGAGTGGCAGTCAGATCCAGCTGAATGAGCAATTTTGGAATATCCTGAAGGGATTTTCAGAAACTCTTTGATGAGATTCCCAGAAGCACAATACACCATCTGCTTTTAAGTATACTGCCCTTCATGCATAAACATTAAGAAGTTATTTGAATTTCTTAATTTTATGCTGTATAATAATTTTAATTAAGGGTATTCCTGAATGAGTGGCAGTCAGATCCAGCTGAATGAGCAATTTTGGAATATCCTGAAGGGATTTTCAGAAACTCTTTGATGAGATTCCCAGAAGCACAATACACCATCTGCTTTTAAGTATACTGCCCTTCATGCATAAA